ATGACAAAAGACATGTTTTAAATTCATCCTGGAATAAGGAAAGGTGATGGGGTTCCTAAAGTTTTAAAGCAAGGAGATAGGTTTTAAGCAAAGGGAACAAATTATATAAAGGAACTAACACATAAGGTGTGACACATTCAAAGAAATGTCACTTGTGTAGAGAGGCTGGAACAATGGGCAAATACCAAAAGTAGCAGATGAGGTTAGCAAATTAATCAGGGCGCAGATCATTAAAGGCCTTGCTTTCTTGCCAAGACATCAATATTTTTTTCTTAAGGCAGAGAGGAGCCTGTAAAGGTATTTAAGCAAAGGAGAGATACTTTAATGGGTAGGTTTGGAAGGGACTTTAGTAATATACTGAGGAAAAGCATGCTCAATGATTAGCTATGGAACAACAAGACAGAATGTGGTGAGCATAGTGCATCAGGGGTATAACAAGGGAAGTGGAGCCTGAGAAGGAGAGTGAGGAGAATTCAACAGGGGTTCAAAAGATTTCTTGATCTAGAACACTGGGGTTCAAAATGATTCAATGAGTTCAATTGATTCAATTTTATTTTTTAATTAAATCACTTAATGGCAGAGAGTATCAATTGGGGTTCAATGCTCCAGATAATTTTATGGATAATCCTATCTAATTTGCAGATACACTATATCCAGAATAAAAATGATGCAGACTAACATTATAAAAGAACACCTTAGTTTGTAATAATGTAAAATTAATAGTGCTGTCTATTCAGATTTAACTTGTCCCTAAGCAGCTCTAAGCACATTAAATATGGAAACAAGGCCATGTTTTTGGTAAGACACAGAGAGGCAAACAACAAGCAATGTCATTTCCTATCTGTCTCTGTCTGCCTGTATTTTCACATCAATCTGATATTCTCCTCCTTCCCCCATTGATCTCTCATTTTTAGGTGCAAGTGAGTTAATTGTAGTTTTCTCCTAAATATGTCATATTGTTCTTGGCATGCCTTCCCCATCCCCATTCTATCTGGTAAGTTTCTGATCCTCCTTAAATGCCCAAGTCTCTGTAAAGGCCATTCTAATGTCTCAAGACATTTCTACTTTATCTTCAATGCACATACTTTTGCACATAATTAACACACACTTTCTTCTTAAATACGCTGTTAACTTCTTAAGGACAGAAACTATGTCTTCTTATTCATTTCTGTTGAGATGTGTCCTCTGCATATAGATATGTATTGGGCATGTAAGTAGGTACTTCCTTATTGTTCCAAGCATGAAAACCATAGCAACTGTGGGGATAGAACCTCGGCTTTGCTGTTGATTGCTCTATAAAGCATGATAAATGACCATTCATCAGCTTGTCTTTCTTAATGGTGTTAATCAGACCTCTTTTGAAAACATTAACATTTGTGGTTGTCGCCTTCCCTCTCACCTGTTCAAGGTTCTATTAGTGACACCTTGTCTATTCAGTTGTCTTACACCTTCTCTAAAAGAGTGGTGTATACAACATTGACCTCTGTTGAAAAAATTTGGTTTTGCTCTCAATTTTTTTACCTTTTGGGTGTGTTTTTAAAAGCTCTAAACATAGTTTTAGCCTTCTTCTTTGTCTCCTTATTTAAAAAAAAAACACACACACAGAATATTGTTGGTGTGCTATATCTCAAACATGTTTTGAAAACAAAACAGCAAAAGAATATTTAGTGAAGACATCTAATGTGTATCCATACACTCTTTTATAAGTAAGTTATAACTTGTAAGATACTTGTTATTTCAAGCTAAGAAACAAAAAATTTAGAGCTGTCTGATTTGGGACATAAATTACTACACTTAACACGTGTGCTGGTGGTACCTGTGCACATTTTTCAGTGATTTTTTTTTTTTTTTCATTATTTGATGCTTTGGATGAACCAAAAATGCTGGTGTTTTAACATGGCTTCCCCCTTGCTTAAAAATTGGCTCCTTTACCCCTGTACTTTCTTTTCCGGCAATGCAAACCACACTGAAGTGTCTAATCAAGTACCTCCTAACTGGAATTACACAAAGAAAAAACTCATTTGCGGAAGAATTGCATTGCAGAACAAATGACATCATTTGTATTAAAACATTCTATGCTTAGATTTCTTTTTCCATGACACTAGAGATCCATCATTTTTAGTCAAGCTAAAAATAGATTGTAATTTTATGCTTGTAAATAATGTCTCATGCACAAGGATACTGGATAAAAATAGAAAGTAGGATTTGATTTTTAAATTAATACTGTATCCCAAAATACCACTTCTTTACCTTATTGAATATATTTGAGATCCTGCTCATATTTCCTGAAGCTTCATAATATTTATAAAACTAGAATGGGCAAAGAGAATGCTTTATTAGAGGCAGCTTTTCCATAAAGCATCTGAGCACCTTGCTGCTGTATTTTTAGCTCAATCTCTGTGAATATTATATGCAGCGTATGGTCTCTCAACTTAAACACAACACTGAAAACTACCCCTTTTCCTTTAACTTTCATTTCAACATGTATTTTATGTGCAAAGATGCAGTATTAGCAAGAAAAACAGATCTCCATCAGCATTTGCTTTTGAAACAGACCTAAGGAAGTTAGGTAATTCTAAATTTCTAATAAAAATGTGGTATAGAACTTGATATTAGATATTCGATTTAATAATTGTTTTCCTATCTCCTTACCCTTAACAGAAACATTCCTTTTAACTTTCTTTTATGAAAATTCTTTGGCTAGGAACTGTTAAGAAATCTACAAACAGAGCAAAGACAGAAATACTCGTGCTGAATCCTTACTTCATGGTGACTCCATTTAATAGCGGTATTTTTGACTCTAGGTCTCCGAAGAGCCTCAAAGTACATTTCTTTTTGCCTTCTGACACCTCCTTTCCTCCCTCCTTCTTTCTTTCTCCTGCAAATTAAAACTGCATTGCCATAAAAATATAAGGCATATTTGGATGAATAGAAGGATGGATAGAAGTATGATAAATCAAGTATAGTAGGTTGTTAATGGTAGAATGTAGGTGGAGGGTATAAAGGCATTCACTCTAAGATTCTTTCAGTTTTGCTAGATGCTTGAAAGTTGTCATAACAAAAATCTCTTAGGAGTGGTTACCCATGAAGGGTGGGATTACAACTTTTACTTATTCTGTGTTTAAATATTGTACACTTATTAGAGAAAAATGAAGATAATTCTTTTAAAAGCTACACAAATCTGTTTTCACAAATGAAGTCATCAGACTGTTGACTTAAATATTCTTCATATTTGAAGTTTATCTTCATCCATGCTAAATAAGGATGTGACAAAAGAATCAGCTGTGTATGATGCTCACATCATACAATAGGAAATTGGGTACTTCAATTATAGTATAGTCAACGGAATACTATGCAGCCATTAAAATATATAGATAGAAACAAATGCATTGACATGGAAAGATAATATAATATAATAATATAATAATTCTAATTAACAAATATGTTAATAATTCTTCACAGGAGACATTTTTAGTTTCTCTAAATGCCTAACCACATATCAAAGGTTGAATCAACTGTGGCA